AGCCAATGGACAGCCCCTCTGATCTCATATTCGCTTAGGAAAATTCACTTCGAAAAATTTCTCTAAAATTAATTTGGAGAGTTGTGAACAACACCAAAGATAAATAAAATATACACAAAATAAAACATCCCAGTGTTCTATCCTAGTAAGGATGAGAATTGTTTTTGAAAAACTTATTAGCGTATGTGCACTGGATCATAACCAAAATTTTGAAAGCCATTGTGCTACAGTGTAAAGACTCAATAGATGCTTGATTTGGGATCCTTTCATTTATCAAAAGAAGAGTAGAGGCAAAGATTGGGAAATGAACCTCTCTGTAAAATGGTGAGGGTCTTCTTGTGGCCCCTGCTTGTTAAACCTTCAGTCTGAGATCTAAGCAGTCCCTGAGACTTCATGGGTCTGGAGCAAAACCACTTTCCCTCCTTCAGAACGTTTAGACGAACCAAAACTATCTCAGGAGATTCAAGTCCTGATGTAAGTCTCAGGGTGAACACAAACCCTGCTATGAGTTTTCAATCATCCAAATAGGAAGTTAATTTTTATGAGCATAAACTGCCAATAAAGTTTAACGACCTTCAATTTATTTTAACAAATGTTCGTAGAATGCCTCCTCTGTGCCAGGATTGTGGGGACTGAAGACACAGAGTTGAGTCAGGCACAGGTTACACCATAGAAGAGCTTCTGATCTGATACAGGGGTTGTCAAACCACAGTCCACGTCCCGTCTGGCCCACAGGCTATTTGTGTAAATAAAGTTTTATTGGAACTCAGCTAGGCTCATTTGTGTATGGATTGTCTGTGGTGGTTGAGTCATGCACAGTTGAGTAGTTGCAACAGAGACACAAAGACTAAACATTTATTTTCTGGCCCTTGACAAAAAATATTTCCCAATCTCACCTAATAAAACATAATAAAATCATTTAATATATTTTTCTATGATATTTCCATATGCAAAAGTGACAAGTATAAAAAGAGTAATGTAATGTTTTCCTTATTTTTATGACCAAACAACATAGATCACTAGTCTGATGGGGCAGCCTTAAGGGGATTCAAGAAGTGGTCACTTTTGAAACAGTGAGATAAGAACATTGTGATCTTAATGAAATGAGATTTCATGTTTTTATGTCTTACACACACATAATTACCCTAGCCAGAGCATAGATGTCTGACTGGAAAGTTCTAGTATTATCACAAATTACAGTGCTAACTCAACTGAATATTAGATCAGAGATCACTAAGGGGCTGCCCGTTGGCTGAGTATAACCCAATGTCATCATATGCTTGGCCAAAATTTATTTGTGAAATTAATTTTACATTAAAGTCTTAGTTTTCCAATTGTCTTGAAAATTCATATTTGGCTGCACTAGGCCTCCATTTCTGCATAATTATGGCTCATTGGAGTAAGAAGTAGCTCTACCTTAGGATAGAAAGGGTTTATGTGCTCTAGATCACCCCAATTTCTACCATGCCTGATGTTTCCCTGTCTCAAGGTCAAGTGCCAGTTCCCATTTACAACATGCATAAACTGCTATTTTCCTCAGTGAGGAACTTTCTTTGTAATAATTCTGTTTTTAAAAATAGGATAACAAGGCCGGGCGCGGTGGCTCAAGCCTGTAATCCTAGCACTCTGGGAGGCCGAGGCGGGTGGATTGCTCGAGGTCAGGAGTTCGAAACCAGCCTGAGCAAGAGCAAGACCCCGTCTCTACTATAAATAGAAAGAAATTAATTGGCCAACTAATATATATATATATATAAAATTATTAGCCGGGCATGGTGGTGCATGCCTGTAGTCCCAGCTACTTGGGAGGGTGAGGCAGAAAGATTACTTGAGCCCAGGAGTTTGAGGTTGCTGTGAGCTAGGCTGACGCCACGGCACTCACTCTAGCCTGGGCAACAAGCAAGACTCTGTCTCAAAAAAAAAAAAAAAAAAAATGGGATAACAAAAGATTAACAAAGAAGATATGTATAAAAAGCGAATTTTCTAACCTACAGTCAACTCTCAGTATCCACAGGGAGTCAGTTCCAAGGCTCCCATCTCCAATCCACAGATGCTCAAGTCCTTGATATAAAATAAAACGCTATACGGCCGGGCGCTGTGGCTCACGCCTGTAATCCTAGCACTCTGGGAGGCCAAGGCAGGAGGATCGCTCAAGGTCGGGAGTTAGAAACCAGCTTGAGCAAGAGCGAGACCCCATCTCTACTAAAAATAGAAAGAAATTAGTTGGCCATCTAAAAACATATAATATAGAAAATATAGCTGCACATGGTGGCCCATGCCTGTAGTCCCAGCTACTCGGGAGGCTGAGGCAGGAGGATTGCTTGAGCCCAGGAGTTTGAGGTTGTTGTGAGCTAGGCTGATGCGATGGCACTCTAGCCCAGGCAATAGAGTGAGACTCTGTCTCAAAAAAATAAAAATAAAATAAAATAAAATGCTATAGTATTTGCATGTAACCTATTACATCTTCCCATATACTTTAAAGTACCTCTAGGTTATTTATTATATCAAATATTAATACAATTTAAATGCTATACAAATAGTTGCACTGTTTTTTATCTGTATTTTTCCAGTTGTTGCATTGATTTAAAAAATATGTATTTTATGCACAGTTGATTAAATCTAAGGGTGTGGAAACATGAATACAGAGGGCTGAACTGTATTTAATATGCAAGCAAAGCCTATGCAATCTGTAGCTACTTCAATAGCTTATGTTCTTTTCTAGCCCATGTAGATATGATAGTTTGAGGCTAATATTTTAAAGGAGAGCATCTGGGCAGGTACTCGAATTTATTTTAGTGGTTGAGGCGTATGACCGAACAACTTGGGCACCATAGTCTTGGTAACTAGGAAGGGATCCAGGAGCTCATCACATCCAAACTGTCATTTTACAAATAAAGCATCTGAAACCCCCTTCCAACCCCACCCTCAGTGGGATGATCTAATCAAAGGCATAGGATTGTCAGCGACTGAGAGCAGCTCTCCTAACTCCCACTCCAGTGCTCTTGAGCAAACGAGACCAGTATAGTGATCAACAAATTCCCTGAACTATCTGGGCAACTTGTAGGAACTTGTCAAACTTCCTCCTCCATCGTAGCACAAATTTTCATTGGTGGCACCCAGAACAGTTTCTTTTTTGTGTGTAAAAAATGGCATCTGATCAATTTCCCCACTTCCAGCAGAGGTCGCTTGCTGCAGCTGCATTTCTATTGGCCAGCTCTCCCTGGCCAGCATCTACCTTCTTTTCCTGTGGAAATAAAAACCTACGGGCAGGAGAAAGGACATATTTGGTAATGTTACGCTCCTCAGCTTCCTGCTCGGGCTGTCTCAGCTGCAAAATGTCAAGGGAAAAAATATCCCTCCAAGTTGGAATGAATTCCAGACAGACCCTGATGCCTGCAAATTTGTCAGAGGGAGCCAAGTCCAGAGAAGCAGAACATGAAGAAGGTTCATTATTCGACTTCAAGAGACGCTCAAATAATCAGACACTCTGGTATTTATGATTTTCCCCATTTCAGATGGTCTGTAGTTCACAACATTCCCCTCCTTTTACCGCTGATTCTGAGCTTCCTTTTAAATTAAACCTCAGCAGTTATAAAAAGACTCTCACATTACTTGAAGCCACAAGCACTACCAGGAGACACTCTGTTCACACAGGGCTGTTTGGGGCTGAAGAAGGGCAGCTCTTTTTGATTATTAGTCTGGGGAGGGCAGGCCAGGAAGTCAGGCTCACTTCACCTTGACCACAGCACACCGCAGAAGTCCTCATCTAGCTCCGAGCCTGAGCCAAGGCCTCCTGCGGCTCACAGCAGAAAGCGCGATGGTCTTTACTAAAAAGCACTTCTTTCTTTCCCACTGACTTTCTTTTTCATTTTGGCTTTTCTTTCTTTGGGGATGGGGGCATGGAATAGCCGGTTTATCCCAACACGCCCAGTTCGTGAGTATCCCCCCAGGACTGTTGGTAAAGTCGAATGTGGGGGGATCTTAGTCTTTTTCCTGGCACTCAGCACGTTTTCTTACTCTTTTAGAACCATTGCCACACGCTGGCAAGAAGGTAAGGAAACTGAATTTGTAATCCAAACCTTGTTAAATTGCTACATACACATTTTCCCCTCTACTTCTTGCTCTTTATATCTAAATGCCATGGTATTTGTTTGTACTTGGCCGCCTTCAATCCCTATTTGGGCTCTCCAGTAGGCACGAAGGCATTCAAATATCAGTTTTAGTAACCGGTGGAAGTGCCCGCATGGGCAATGGGATGTTCAGTCTTAACATGTGGTCTCTATGAATAAGGGTCTTTTTTTTTTTTTTCCCTTTTCCTAAGCTGTTCAGCACTTTCTACACTGGTTTTGCTCCTCAACAGTCTAAGGTTTGTCCTACTTCCATGGAGATCAACTGTTAGGTCATAAACATTAGATTGTGGCATCACCGAATGAGTCAGTTGGGAGGAAGCTGGGCTGGAAATACAGCTGAGAGCTTCTGTTGACAGATGGATGCCTTCTTAATCACAGCCCATGGGGCAAAGGGAAAACCTCGCCTGGCCCACCCCCGCCCCCAGTCCGCCCCTGACATTGAGTCACAGCCCTGGACAGCTGTGGAGGCGGCTGGGCAAGTCCATCCTCAGGGAATACCTCTTCCATGCCTCTCACAGGCCACCCACACAACTAGGAAGAGGAAGAGAGTGAATAAGCGAGCTCCTTCTTACTACTTTTTGAGTGTCAGCAAACTAAACCTGCTTTCATTTTCTTTTCAAAATCCCATACGGTTCCTTCTTAAACAATTTATGTAGTATTTATGTGGTTAGAAACAGCATTGCCTGTTTCTCATGTGTGTCCATCTGCCTTGTCTGTAAAATGGGCATAATCAGAGCTCACCTTTTGGAAAGTGGGCTTGGGGGTGGGATTAGACAATATCATTATATCCCTTTCATCAATTTTCCCTATCTCTATTAAGCACTGAGTACTGCTAGAAAGAGCCCCTTTTTGTCAGATGCTTTTAAACACAATTCTTTGAGTCCATATTTCATTTTAGAAAAAATGGTTTCATATTTCTAAATTTAGGCTTTCAGAGCGCGCTATGTCAAGAGCCGCTATATACTAGGCTGCTAAGAGACTGGTCAGCCCGAGAAACAATGCCCTTTCCTGTGACCACTATCAAGAGCAGCTCAGAATTCCTGCCAGCTTGTTAGCCTTTATCATCCAGTCATTTTAGACCTGAAAGGGAACATTCCATCAGGGGATCAGTTTCTGTCATTTCACTGGAATGCAACGTAAGTCCACAGAAACTCTAGTACAAACAAATTTACCATGGCTCAGATTAATAACAGATAACACTTGAATGGTCTGCCCTAGTTGTGTTCCCTTTCTGCTAAGGATACAATAAATGAAAATAAGTTGAAAATCCAGCAGAAAGACTCAGGCCAGACATAAGGAAATACTGGAGGCATTCGGGACACAGAGGAAGTTGTGAGGTTTGCCTCCTGGGGAGAGTCCTTATGATTAGCCTGGAAGAGCATATTTGAATGATGAAGATGCAGTCCTGGACTGGAGATGGGGGACAAGGTTATATGGTTTCCTGGGTTTTCATCAAGATATAAAGATTCTCCAAGTTGTTGAAAAGTGATTCCGTGCATTACTCACCACTATTAAGATTGTCATTTGTGGTCAGGCCTCAGCGAGATCCAGGCTATTCTTACATAACAAAGTCAGTTTGCCCTTGTTGGAAGAAAGCTGAGGAGTCATTCATTTCATCCATCTTATTTCACCTATAAAAAAGAACCAAGGCTCAGAGAGATCAGTGTTGGCTTCCAAGCAAAAGAACCAAGGCTCAGAGAGATCAGTGTTGGCTTCCAAGCAGAAGAGCCAGGCCTAAAACTCAAACCCCTCATGTTCCCCATACTGTATGCTTTACTACATCTTATTTTCACCAATACTATAAATCTATTTAAGATGTAGCTCCCTTTCTACTTTCCTGGACCACTATGGATTTTGCATTCTAGAAATGCTTTTATAAGAATTTTGTTTATTACACGAACAGTACTGAGACAGAAATATGAAGAGCTCTGGGTATTGATGTGGCTAAATATCACAGTCTAGAAGAGTCATTTAGGAAAAGTACAAAAGTGGAAATGCTATTTATATGAACTCATTTCTACTCACGAAAAAAATTTAAAAAATAAACTCAAGACCCAACAACTTTTTTCCTTTGCTTAACCCAACATCAGAGGATTATACACAGCAACTCCCCAAGCGAATCAGTTTTATTTATTCCTTCTCCCCAAACTCAGGGACTTCTCTGATATCTAATCTCAAATTTATGAACTTTCCTTAGAAAAAGTTCTACTTCATTTCTACAACAAATACAAATTTGTACCTAATTTTATCTCTCTCTTGTTTTATGATCTGTGAAATGGATAATGCTGCCTCATCTTAGATGACATTCAACAGCTTTAATTTCCAAGTTATAAATTCTATTTTTCTTTTTTTTTTAATCTTGAAGGATGCTTTGTTCATTTCACATGGAAGTCAGTTGAGTTTTTCCTCTGGTTTTCTCATCACATACTGCCTTCGAAGGGCCTCCTCAGCTCTGCTCTAGACCAGAAGTCAGGCCTCACAGATCCGTTTCCTTATGGATGACTTTAGGAAGCCAGCATTTTTGATAAATGGTAAGGGAAATAATTATATCAAATGAAAAAATTCTCACTTAAAGTTGATATTAATATTACAATAACTTTCTTCTTTCATATTTTCATCTTTTTAGTTTATTTTGCTGGACATCCAAGAAAATCATAATTTCAGAGGAAATTGAATTTCCCGGGGGAGCTGAGCCTGTACAGCCAGCCCACAGGAAGGCAGGAGGCTGTCTGTCTCCCGCTGGGTGCTGAGGAGGAAGCCCCAGTAGGTCAGGAAAACACTTGAAGGCGGAAGCTGGACTCCCTCATGCAGTCTGAAAAGGCAATTTCCTAGTTGTTTCCGTCTTTAGCAGACTCTAGTTGTTTCCGCCTTTAGCGGACTCTAAAAGGCATTTTTATTCCAAACATTTCTTCTGCGTCTCAGACAGCAACTGAAAATTCCAACTAGTAGATTCCATTGTTCAGGTTAAGACATCATCTCCAGGAAACTGTGCCATTTGGCATCTAGAAGGGTCAAAACATTAACCCATTAGCACCCATGACTACATTAGCTTTACATCCTGGAACCTCAGCATGGGACAAAGGAGAGTGGCATTTGGATAGTAAACATAAATGGTCTGGATAGAATATGTTGGGAAAAGAAGCAAGTGGGCCACAGCACTGGGAGAATCAGGTTGAGAATGAGACACAGGCTGCCAAAAAAGGCCATCACTGAATCACATCTTTCTCTTCACCTGTTTGGAGGTCTGTGTTTATAGTATTTGCATCTCAAGCAACCTCAATGCATTTCTTTACTACTCTCTCAGAGGTCTTCACTGTCATTAATTGATTTGAATCTTCAGATGGAGTCAGACTCATAAGTTATGATGTCATCAGTTGAGGTTATTCTAGGACCATAGAGTCTTTCTAGAATAAATGTGCATTAGAGTAAGTAAAAAATTGAAAGAGCACAACAAGAGAGCTAATACTCAACTTTTATGTTGGTTGATGTATGTTAGGGGGGGCAAATAAGAGAAGGGAATTTAGGTTTTTTTTTGTTTTTTTTTTTTGGCCTAAGGAAAAGTAAGTTGAGGGAATTCAAGGACTGGAAACATTAGTACAAAGCTAAAGATATATCTTAATTCGAGAGATGGTCTCTTAGAAAATAGTGTAGCCCCCTCCCACCCCTTACCCACAGGGAATACATTCCAGGACCCCCAGCAGATGCCTGAAACTGGAAAGTAGTCAACCCTATATGTACTATGTTTCTTTTTTTTTTCTTTTAGCATATTATGGGGTACAAGTGTTAAGGTTACATATATTGCCCATGCCCCGCTCCCCCCTCGAGTAAGAGCTTCAAGCGCTTTATATGTACTATGTTTCTTCCTTTATGTACATATGACAAAGTTTAATTTATAAATTAGGTACAGCAAGAGATTAACAGTGACAATAATAAAATAGAACAATTATAGCAATATACTGTAGTAAAAGTTAATGTTAAGACATCATCTCCAGGAAACCGTGCCATTTGGCATCTAGAAGGGTCAAAGCATTAACCCATTAGCACCCATGACTACGTTAGCTTTACATCCTGGACCTCAGCATGAGACAAAGGAGAGTGGCATTTGGATAGTAAACATAAATGGTCTGGATAGAATATGTTGAGAAAAGAAGCAAGTGGGCCACAGCAGTGGCCCACTGTTTTTCTCTCTCCCAAAATTCTGTGTTATAATATTTTCAGACTACAGTTGACTGCAAGTAACGGAAACCACAGAAAGTGAAACTGTGGATAAGGGGGGCTATTGAAAATCTCAACTCAGCCAGATTAAGACACCATTGTAGCCCTGCTTTCATGGCTATTCTTTTCAGATAAAGCAGCAAAACGCACTTTTAGTATATCAGCAGTTTTATTCTTCCGCACATGTGTATTGAGGTAGATTTTGGGAAACAGACACATACACAGATACCCATTATATTTCTAATGTTCACTTGATGAAAAATGATCAATGGCAGCTAGAATTGGCTACTTATGTCCTGCAGATCAGAGAAATCCTAGTGATATATAGCCACTGTTTTCCAGGAAATGGAATTTTCTGTAGGAAAGGCTTCTTTCTGGGGACAAAATCTTTCTAGAATTTGGATTTTGGAGATTGGTTAACCCCTAGCAGTTTCACCATAGAGCGAGTTGAGAATAGAGTGGTGGGTTGGTGGAATTTAAAACAAAGCTGTCACTGTTCTTCTTACTGTATAGAAAGCTGGATGCCACCTAAGTAGGTCATCAGGAAAATAATGGCAGGAGTCTGAACAGTTAAACTTTACTTCTAAATTATAGAGTTTGTATGATAAGGGCTTTAATAGTTTTCTAAAATCAAAATTTAAGTACATGTAAAACATATCAACTGAAGAAACCTACAGTGCTCATGAATTCGTGGCTCATTCATTCCTTTGTTTGACAAATGCTATTAATATTTGTAACTACTCTGTATCTACTAAGGTATATTAGGGTTCTCCAGAGAAACAGAACTAACAGGATGTGTGAGTGTGTGTGTGTGTGTGTGTGTGTGTGTGTGTGTGTGTGTGTGTACAGGAGTGGGCAGGGGAAGAGAGAGAGAGAGACTTAATTCTAAAAAATTTGATCTCACAATTGTAGAAGAAGCTTGGCCAGTCCAAATCTGCAGGGTAGGCCAGCAGGCTGGAGACCCAGGAAAGAGTGGAATTTGAGTCCAAGGTGGTCAACTGGCAGAATTCCTTTTTGCTTGGGGAGGTCAATCTTTTTCTATGAAGGTCTTCAATTGACTGGATGAGACCCATCCACATTATGATGGATAATCTGCTTTACTGATAATCTTCTAATTTAAATATTCATTTCATATTTTAAAAATACCTTCATAGAAACATCTAGAATGAATTTTGACCAAATACCTGGGTACTATGGCCTAGTCAAGTTGACACATAAAATTAACCATCATGTAAGAGCTGGGCACAGTTCCAAGCACCATGGATATAGCCATTATCTCATAGAGCATACATTCTGGTGGCATTGAGAAGTCTGAGACATGTTGCCACAGGCTTTTCCAAAAACACACAAAGTTACAATCAATTGGTACTATTCTTACCCTCATTTTCTGCTGCTGCTGCTGATGATGATGATAGTGGTGGTGATTTAGCATCTACCTGAGATGACCTAGTCTGAGAAAACTTACAGAAACTAGTATTAATAATTATAGAGTTAGCTTGTTGAATGTTGACAATGCTATGGTCATAGGAATATTCTGAAGAAAAAAGCATCCTTTTCTTTATCTTACTATGATTGGAGGAGTAGAGACCATGATTGTATGACATTTTCCCTAACACTATTAGAAAATTCTACAGGACATCTCAAAAAGCAGATTCAGACTATGCAGACTTATGTTAAAATATAAGACTGGCTGCAACATCAAGGAAATACAGATTTTGTGGTTTGCTATTTGTTTACCTGCAAGGGAAATGCCTGGAAGCCTGAAATATATATTATACATACTTTGACTACACGTAGGGTAAAAACTTGGATTCCTAACTTCTATCAAAGAACCTATTGTCCCTTTTCCACATTCATTGGTTGAAGCACAGAAGCTTTCCATTTAGTTTCCACTTCCTTATTATTCTATTTATTTATTTATTTTGCCTGCAGCTTGTTTTATTTTTCACTTCATTACACCTGCATCTCTTAGGCTGGGTGAAATCACTCCTTATCCTTAGGAGAAAATGACAGACAAGAAATGACAGCTGTGGAATCTTCCTCTGGATGTGGGAACAGAAATAGCTCTGAGAATAAATAGTGGCCACACACAGGTAGCTTCTTCATGAGGTGACCTGGTGACTTCACAAGATAGGCCCCACCCCACCCATCTGGGATGAGCACGACTCGGTTGCTCTCCTCCTTCGGGGTCTGTAATTACAGCACAAAGATGAAGGTGTGCTTATGAAAGCAAACGCTGTCCAGATCTCAGAGACACACTCTACTTTTCCAGATGACCTCAATTGGCAGTGTATGTTAGAAAGAGTCATGGAATGTCTCTGGAAACATACATAGAAGACTGGGTGACATTGTAGCCTCTGGGCTATGGGAGCCAAGACAGTGGGAGGCTTACTGCTCCACGTCCACCCCTTTGCACAATTGGAAACTTAAAAATATATACCCTGCGCACATATCACTTCCTTAAAATTAGCCACCTACCTACCTACCCAGCTAATTAATCACCTAATTAAGTTAGTAAAATGTTTTTAAAAAGAAGGAAAAGCCAAATAACTGGAAACACTTAGATCTTCCTATGTTACTATTTAGCTAACTGTTCAATTTAACTCTTAAATAGGTTATATCCTGTTTCCTTTCCTTTTTCTTTTTTTCACAGAAACTCTATACCTAAGTAACACTGGCCTCCTTGTTCTTCCTCAAACATGCCAGGCACATCCCAGCTGCAGGTTCTTTACAGAAACAGATTCCAACGCCTGGAAAAGTCTTGTGTTCATTATCTGCATGGCTCTCTCCTTGCTTACTGTAAGTCTTGACTCAAATATCACTTTCTCAATAGAGCCTACCTTGACCGCCCTATTTTAAATTGCACATTTACACTCCAGAATTCCCCACCCATTTTATTTTTCATGGCAACTATCTTCTTTTAAAGTACTGTATGGTGTATTTCACATCTTGATTGTCAGTATCACAACCGTTGAACCAAGCTCCATGAAAGCAAGGATTTGTTTGTTTTGTTACCTGTTGTTTACCCAGCACGAATGTTCTGCCCAGCACTCATAGGTTGCTAAGAAATAATTGCTGAATAAGTGAGTTTTGCTCTCTAAATTTGTTATACTTGAGTATTATTGAATGTTATTAAATGATTTGAGACTGATACATCTAGTTTTTAATTCTATTAATGATTACTGTTAACTTTTTCAAAAACATTCTTCAATGCATATTTTCAAAATAAATTAAAAAATAACAGTTTCTACAACATATATATGAAAAGACTCACCATCACTAATTAACAGGAAAATACGAATCAAAACCACCATGAGATACCACCTCACACTCCTTAGGATGACTGTTTCCAAAAAATAAGACAACACGTGTTTAGCAAGGATGTGGAGAAAAGGAAACACTTATACACTGTTGGTGGGAATGTAAATTGTTGCAGCCACTGTGGAAAACAGCAGGGAGATTCCTCAAAAAGTCA